ACCTTTTAATTTTAAAATGTTCATAATGCTTCATTTACATCTCTATAAAATGGAAATAATTATTTGAAAACCTGTTTCCTTTAAGTATTATCAAAAGCACAGATGTTGACATTCATGAAGCACTGCTCCAACAAATATTTACAAACAAGTTTGAAAAATGCCTAATAAAGATGATACAGATCACATACAATAAAAGGAAGAAAATATGAAATATTCATTTTCAGCTGTTCATTAAGTGAAGATGTACATAGCTTTATTGCAGTCTCCTGCAGCAAACGTGGGATAAAATGACAAAGAAATTGTACTCTGATGCACATACAGCACAGTAGGGCTGAATTAATGTAGCACAAATTTAAATACCAGCATGAAAATATTACCCATTTCTGAACTCACAGTCCATGTCTTTTAAAGTTCTTTAACTTTTTTCTTCAAGCTTTCCTCCAGAAAGACAGACTAATATTACATGAATACACAGGTATACATCCACTACCTTATTTTTTCATGGACAAAAGGAATTTATGCTTTCTAACAACACAAATAAAGACTATATTTTTTACTGTTATCACATTTATACTTTACAGCAAGTAAAAAAGTGAATGCTAATATTTATGTTAGTATCACAACACTGTTTCCAATGAAGGCTGAAATATTAATGAGATCTTTAATTCTCTCTTCTCCATTTAAGAAGTCCAGTGTGAGTTATCTTGAGGAAAGCAGTAAAATATTCTTAATCAACCTTCTAAAAAAAATGTTAAATTGTAAATAGCTTGGCAACACATTTTCTATTCTAACTCTGCTATAACAAACAGATTAATTGCTGGGTAATTTAATCAGATGGCTTGCTGATACAATTTGAGCAAAGACTTGATATGTGTCCAGTGCTTGAAAAGCTGGTGTAAGTTATTCAGCTAAGAAAAGTCTGTCCAGATGGCCCTAGAATGAAGAATGGCATTCAAAATGTTGTTCTCAGAGGACTGGCCAGCTGCATCTAACGTGGAAATGCTTCTGTGAGTTTTTAGAATAACATGAAGTGTAATGGAGAATACTGAAGAGAGAATTTAAACGTAATCCATTCACAATTTAGAATTGGTTCAGTTGGCAAAAGTGAATGGAAATTATGTTTTAACAGACACAACTGCTAACAGATCCATCTCATACAAGCTATGTCTAGAACTAAGATGCTACCTTTTTGGAAATTACCCTTCAGTTCATCCTTTCTACCTAACACCTCTTTTGGCATTATTCAGAAATATGCCGTCTGCAACAAAAATCCCTTTTGAAGTGTAATGCATATACTTCCAAGAAATATTTGAGGGTACTTTAACTCTTTTTAAACATTGATAAATATAGTCAGGACTCAACAGTTGGGAGTAAAAGCTCGAATACATATAATTGTAGTGAGAAGACAATTTTGGATGAGCCTTTTGTAACGAGATTGCAAAAGAGCTGGAAAAATAAATCAAGTCTCACACATTAGAAGCAGCATGTGTCAGTTTTTATATCCCTGTTAAGCTTTTATGTTTCACATTAGCATCTTCCTGGAGCTCATCCATACTCTTCATAGCAGAATTTTGTACTGCCTTCTGACAAACCTGTATTCAGGCCAAGACAGTCTTTTGCAATCTGCCAAAGCCTGAAAGTGTGCTGAGAGAGAAAGCTGAATCCTTGAAACTTCCCACCACAGCAAAGAGGGAAATTTAAAAGGGCCCCATGGAAGACCCATTAAGTCTTCATCAAACATCCATCAGAAAGTAGATCAAAATGGGCTAGAATGGTACTAAAGGAAAAGCAAACAAAACAATTTTGAGAGTTTCCATCATGACAGTCAGAATCTCCAAGAGAAGAAAACGTAATCTTAGGGAATACAGCTAGCTTTAAAAGAGGAAAACAAATCCTAAGAGTTGTTAATATTATCATATAAAATATCAAAACGTACTTCTACTGTAATTTGTTACAATGAGAGATGTATTCTATGATAAATAAAATCTATATGAAATTTTTGTTGGTTTAAATTTTCAGACAATATTGGCATTTTTTTCATTCAATAAAGGCTAAATGAGGACACTTAATTTATTTTTTAAATATTTGTATAATTTAATTTATAGAAACAAAATGAGAATACACCAAAGATGTCAAGATTTGTTTAAGAATTAAATAAATAATGAATTTTAAAATCTAACACACACAAAAACAATACATAGTAATCTAAAACCACAGCCACCATTACTTTATTTTGGTATAATTTCAGTCTGTACGTAAGTATTACACATATACATATTATAACATACATAAGAGTAATATAAGTATATTGCCAGTGTAACTAATCCACACACATGGCACATAAAAGCACCATCAAGTAATAATTTTTAAGGTATGAGTAATTTAGATTAAATCAGATGCTGGAAAATTAGGTTCCCTTATGGTTTTTGTCATTTGATCACATACACTGCTTCACAGAATTGTTTTGCTAAACAAAATGTAAAGCAATGTGAAAAGGCAGCAAATGTAATGCAGAAATACACTGAAAAATGAAATTAATCAGCAATGACTTGTGGAGGTGCCTGTTAAGGAATGTGTTCCTTGGCTGGCAGGTGTTTTCCAAAGATTTAGGAATTTAGAAAAGATTTAGAAATCATGAAGAAGGAATGAAGTTTTGCTCTACATAAAAGTTATCACAGGGCTGTTAGTTCACAGAAAGGGATAGAAAATTGAAAGCAGAAAAAAATCATTCATAACTGGAAGTTTTTCAAGATGTTCACAGATGAAGTGGAAAGTGAGATAATGATAAAATTACTATAATTAAAACTTAATTATTCAAGTGGTTTAGAGCGGTAAGTAAATAATCCTGCTTTCCTTCCTTATCTTATGCAGATGTATAAGCCCATGTAACTCTACAGAATACATAATAGCATATCTGGAAATTGTCTTAAAATAATTTTGAATGTGAATTACACAGAAGTATTGTTCTTTTTTAAAGATGATCTTATTAATTAGATGTCTGATAACCTGGTGCCTCGTTGGAGAACTGAACAGTCAGGTAAAGAAAACCACAGTCAGGAGCTCAATCTGGAGGGAAGTTTGGAAGCTAAAGAAGCAAAATAATAGAATAGGGACGCTCTTTGGTTTCTCCCAGAACTTATTAAAAGTAAAAAAAAAAAAAAAAAAAAAAAAAAAAAAAAAAAAAAAAGCATTGAAATCTCTTTATTGCATGTTTAATTAACAAAAAGAAAAGAAAAGAAAAAAAGGAAAGGGAAAAGGGAAAGAAAAGAAAGATATATTTAACTGCTGCTTGTATATGAGCTTTTAAGACTTTGCTCTCTACAGTTGATTTGCTCTCAGAAGCCAAGAAAATGAATGACGAGCAGAGAATTCAGACAACTGCTTGATCTTCATTAAGCTCTTTGGTAGTGCTGGTATTTTTACATAATAAAGGTTACAAAGTTATAGAAAAATTCAATGGATTTCTGAATACCTTTGGAAAATTAGGAGACTAAAACAATCAGTGAGCTAGGAGATGTACATGTTAACTCACAAGAATGCCACTGACTTGCATGAAATAACTGTCAGGGTGATACAAGGAACACAATGCTGATGATAGCATGAAATATATGAAATATAATGTTTTGGGGTTATATATATATATATTACAGATGGAAAATAATTGTATATATAATAATTTTAAAAAATTATTCTGAGTGATTATTATGTATAATTATATTATATGTTGTTATAAAATTATAATAACTACCACACATGCTGATCTTGATTTGGTTTTGTTGAGCTTAAAAGAGGAGCAGACACAGCTTTGGTTCCTGCATAGTTGGTCTGTGCATGTCTGGGTGCTCTCAGAATGAATTTGAAGATACTTTCTGCATGTCATATCTTCTACACTGATTTTCTTACCATGATCTGAAAGATGTACATCTACAAAGAGTGCAGCAAATTGAGAAAAAACTGTTCTATGAATACAGATGTTTTGAGTATGTTTAAAATCATAGAATCATTAAGTTTATAAAAGACCTCTAAGATTATCTTTATCTGAGAAGATAAAGGTGAACCTAGCACTTAAGGAATGGCCCTCCTCAAGGTCAAACAAGTGCCTATATTTCTATCAAAATAAAATCCTAAAGTTCTACATAATGCAAAGGACCAAAAGCCAGAAGTGTCCTTCCGAAAGTACAAAAAGTTATCTAAAGTACAGGATGCCTTATATTCACAGCAGAGTGTAATTTCTGTAGAGTTTGCTTATTTGCACTTAAGAATGCTAAATGCTGAATTGGTACAAACCAGAGTCTTTGCTGCCTGTAAACAAGTGATGTCATTTTACACAGCTGGCTGTCTGGGTGCCATAAAAGTTCTGCTTATTACTAAATGTAAATGTTCTATCTATAAATTGCAGCAGTTCTCTCCTCGGCTTCTGGTTTTGTGTTTTTTTTTTTATGGTGAATTGAGCCCCATCTCTAAATAAACAACTTCATTAACAGATGTTAAATTAGCTTACGAGAAGAGCTGAAGCAGAAGAGAGGCTTATCTACACCATGAAAAGGAAGCAAAAAGCTATAGAATAAATACCCAAAATTATCAGTGAATTCACTAGGAGACAACAGTGGTTCAAAATGCATTGTTTTACTAGCTGCTGACTTGCCAGGTACTTTCTCCTCTTAGAAGAAATTACCACCAGGAAGGTGATGATAATTTCAAAGGATACCCAATGTTGAAATCTCAAAATGCATTTCTCAGGTTGAGTGCAGAAGACCTTCTTCTAGATACAGATCTGTCTTCTTTAATTGCCAGTGCAGATTACAAAGCACTGTAGAAATGCTGTCTGTCAATTTAGCTAGCTAAGATATCCTAATTGGCTCTTTTTTAACACCGTTGATGACAGGAGAAGAAAGATGTGCTCAGCAGTCATAAGTGTTCATACCTTGGCATTATTAAAATATCTACCCAGTTCTTAGATTGGACGTAGCTACAGAAAATTCAGTGGTGATATATAATACCTGTTTTTAATGTGCTGGGGAGAACCAAGACACTTGAAGCTTCCGTTCACCATAATAGCAAGTCGCGTGCAGAGGGCTTCACATTCTTCCATACTACAGAGTACAGTGGAAAAAGAAAAAGGGATTAAAACAGGACAAGTGAAAACAGAGAGCACCATATATATCTAACTTAAGTTAAAATGAAAGGAATCTGGACAGCTACAAAAACAGGTACACAAAACCTTTGGCGTTAAAGGGAACAATTCAAATTGTAGCCCTCATCAGTATATACCAAAAGGTATAACCACATTACAGCCAGAAGAAAGCCTCAAAACCAAATTTATATTTTTAGTACAGATTTAATTCAACAATTCTGGCTGCAATACAAAGGTTTTATTGCTACAGGCAAATAAATACCTGGTAGGCAACCTCAAATATGTCACTGATGTGGGACCGTGAACTCTGTTGTTCCCTGTAATACATGTTTATGACCATTCTGCACTAATGGGGAGAGGGAGGGGAAAAAAGTAAATTTGCTCAGCTTACCTCTTGCACAACACATAGCCTCAAAAAGAAAAGTTACCCTTAGCCTGATCGCAGGAAAGAAGAAACTGCAATACACTACAATCCAAAATAGAATTTAGGACACAGTAACACAGCTGAATAATAAAAGCTAGATTCTCTTAGATGTGATTGCTTCAGTTGACAAAGAATAACTTTGACTTGTAAAGCTTAGGGCAGATGGGTTACCCTTCTACATATTACACATAATTATGTGAGCATTTCTTCCAAAGCATTGATTTAGACAGGACATCAGTCAGGACGTATTCATCAAAGAACTGTCTTCTCAAAGAGAAGTTGAAGTTGTTTGATGTTAGTGCAGTTCACTCTGCTCCATCCCCTCTGAGAAAACTACAGTCTTGTGTGCGCAGTCCAAATTATAGTGCTTTTTTCTGGAATAATTTCTTAAAATGCGACAGGAGTAGGGTGAGAACTGACAAAGAGCAAGCTGTTGCATTTCAGAGACACGGTGAGATGGCTAACACATCTTCCCACAAAACAGGAAGACAGCTGAGTCATTTTAGCATGCAGTGCCTCCTAATGATTTTCTCAGCATATTTCCCACTTCTGGCAAAATAGCACAAAATTAGGCCTGTATAGACAATTAATACAAACTCATTTTTCTCCTGCCTCAAAAATAATAATAATAATAATAAATTAACAAGTAAATAGACCTCAAAAATTAATCTTTACCCAGGAAACCATTTCTATTCCTCCATGCATTTATTTGCTGGTATGCACAAAGATTCATTTAATAGGAAAAAATATTTTACTTATGCAAGTAGCCTTTGAGAAAATCTCAAATAAATCTCCAATGGCCTTCAGCAAATATTATATGATAATTTCTGCAACTTGATATAACAATGTCTTATTAATTAGAAATGAGATGTGTACATTATTACTTATTACTGCTTCAGTCAGAAGTCATTCATTTGTAGAGCTAAATGAGCAATTAGTAACAATTTATTTGATGGATTTATTTATTTATTTTTCCTGCTTGCAGCATGTTAGTAATGAGACCACAGAGCTCTTCTACCTAGCTGGCATTTTGACAACAAAGGGTTCTTAACCTGGACTGAAAAGTCAAAGCACTGTTTCCTGAAAATGACTCATCTTAATTCACATTGGATGACTTCTGTTCCCTAAATAAGTGAGTTGCTAAACACTTGCTAAACACTCATTCAAGTGCATGATTTTGAAGATTCATTTTCCACAAACAGAATCCACAAAACTTCTGAAAGCTTTTTTTTTTTTCCCTTCCTAGGAATAATGTATCACTTGTGTACAGGGACAATGAATATAAATTTTGAGAACTTCTGAAAAATTTAACAATATCTAGAAAATGTTGAAGGAAGTTTTGCCGCATAGATCAATTCATCTACTCTTCAAATTTAATTTGGCCAAATTATTGCATTGCTGTTTTGATTAATTAGTTCTGTCCTTTCTGGGCACTTTTTTATGACCTCTTCCCTCAGACACAGACATTTCATATGTAATCATATCTACTATACTATATTCCCTAAGGGGATATATGATATTCTATTCTATTGTAGATGCTACAAAACAGTTCTGATGCTCTGTTAAACTGATGCACCAATATCCATTTCAAAGATTTGACAAGATACAGAATATAAATACACTCTTCCAAGAAGATAGGGTCAACCCTTCCATTTCCATCAATGCATACATTGAAGAGCTGCTGTATAGCTTAGTTGTGTCATGACATATTTATTCTATACAATCACACAAAATAAAATTATCAATAACATCAGAAGGAGGCTTTACATTCCCATCTGTGTTTCTAAGGATTTGAGAAGTAGGCAACTGCAAAAGGATAAATCTTGTGTTCCAAGCAAAAAGTGATACTGCAACACTGAAAGGAAAGAGCATAGAAAAGGGAGCATTTGATGCATCATTCTTCTGCCTGTAGCCTCCTTGAGCCACAATTTAAAGTTCACCTTTCATTTTTGCCATAAAATGCCAAAAAATGCTCTGAGTTTCAAACAAGTGTGAGCACACCTTCAGAATATTCTGTTTTTCCCAAAGATGATAACAAGTGAGGAAAGAAAAAGGTAATACAATGGCAGCTGAAATAAGGGTGCTTATTATCACCTGTGGGATGTCAGCACAGCTGCACAGCCATCCTGAACTTCTTTCAAGATGGTTTTCCACAAGTAACGTTTAGAGCAAGGATCCATCCCAGAACTTGGCTCATCCTATAGGAAAAACGAAAGTAATGACACAGCAATATTGAAAACACACAACTCCAGCTCAGCATGAACAATGAACAGAAATTACAATGAAAGAACACAGTTGTCTCTCTAAAAAAGTCCTGCATTTTCAGGAAATCATTAAAAGATGCCCTGATTGTTTTGTTTTTTTTTTTGCTCAAGCACACTCACATTCATTTTCTTCTTTATGAAGTTCTATGTATATATATACTTACAGGAGAGACTTGCAGAAGAAAGAATGATACCTTATTTTCAAAAGTCATTATCTTTCACTACAAAAGTAGGGAGAAGGAAAAATTCCAAGCTGCATTTAATATTATATATTTTCATAACGGGTGTCAGCATCTAGTTGGATGTTATGGTCTTAGCTAATGTATTTGCATCATGGACTCCTTGCTAAAACCTGCAACAAAGTTGTCAAGAGCCAAAGCTAAATCATCCCATCTAATGCTGATTTTGGTGTTTAGCTAACAATGACAAAGGTGAAAAGAAATTTAGTTGTCTTTTATCTGTTGAGAAGTAACAAAGCAAAGGTAAAGGAAGTAAAAACAATACTATTGCCTTGGACACCTCCATTGATGGGGCATCCACAGTCTCTCTGGGCAGCCTGAGCCACTGCGTCACTACCCTCCGAGAAAAGAATTTCCTCCTAACATCTTATCTAAACTTCCCTTCTTTTAATTTAAAGCAATTTCCCCCTGTCCTATCACTATCATATAAAAAGTCAGTCTCCCTCTTGTTTATAAGCCCTCTTTAAGTATTAGAAGGCCACAACAAGATTCCCCAAGAGCCTTCTCTTTTCCAGCTGAACAAGCCCAGCTTCCTCAGTCTGTCTTCAAAGGAGAGGTGTTACAGCCCTCTAATCATCTCTGTGGCCTCCTCTGGATCAGCTCCAGTATATAAAGTAATAATGAGAAAAAGAATATAGAGAAATAATGATGCAATTCCCATAGCTTTTTAATTCACTGATCTTCAACACAAACAGCATTGCTTAGACTGAAAAGGCCAGTTTCAGGCCTAAACAAATGGCAGGATGCAGGCACCAAGACAAAACATAATTCAATTTAATATCATTCAGGAGTATTACTTCGATTAGCGAACCCAATTAAGATATTAAAACTGGCCAGATCTATGAAGCATGATGTAGTAACGAATATGAATTATCTAAATAATATAGACAAGTAACTAATTACATCAGCATTAAATAATGAATTAAAACAGAATCTTCCCTCTTGAGGAAACCAGTATAATTGTTCATGTATACTTTTCTCATGTTGTATAAAAAGTAGAGAATACATAAATCTTAGTATATTCTCTTTTTTACAAACAAATCTTAAAATAAATTACATATCCATTGGGGTCATTGGATGCTACAATTGCATTTGTGCTTGTTTAGTGTCCCTTTCCCCTGTCCATGCCACTACCCCCAAAAGAAAAAGAAGGAAAAACTGAAAAACAATTTCAGTTCCTGATCTGTGAATACAGGCAAATAAAACGAACATTCATACAGCACAGCAAACAGAACAGTTGTACACTTGTGTATCGTTATTCTCCTTGAATGACCAGGAAATGACCTGAATTTTATGGGGGCAACATGCAAGACAAGGAAATTCAGTGCAGTCTATTTATCATGTTTCCAAAGTACCCACAGTATTATTGCCTTTACTTACCAGTAAAAGTATCTGTGGTTTACCAACTAGAGCCAGAGCAGCAGAGAGTTTTCTTTTTGTGCCGGCACTGTATGTTCTCACCAGTTTGTCAGCATGGGCACTGAGTTGCAACCGGGTAACAAGGTCCTCTGCTACCTGTCATTTGGAAATTTGAACGTCAGCAAGGACAAGCCAAATTAGGAAGTGATATAGGTTGGCTTAGCAATAGGGATCAACATATTAGTTTAAGGACCAAAAGGAATCCATGTGTGCTATTTCTAAAACTTTCCAGTTTAGCTTTGTCTGTTATGCGGACAGCCTTGTTTCCCTCAATGTTCCTGCTTCACAGAAGCACTGAAGTCACAGTAGAATACTTTTGTCTTTGTATCCATCAAGTGCAACGACTTTTTCTTGAGATGCACACAAATTGTTCTGAGTTATAGTTCACCAAGATGGAAAACTGCTCATCATGGCATAACAACCAATGGGAAATTTCTAAACTGGTGAAAAACAGCTAAGGGTAGGCCAAAAGTCACTGTGATGAAGCTGAAGGAGGAAAAAAAGGGGAGGGATCAGGTGGTCATACATCCACCATAGATGCAACTGCGCATACCCAGAGGGACATTAACATATATTAATGAGTTCTTGGAAAAGACCAAATATGTCAATAGGATGAATATACCAATGTACTGCATATATATTGATATGTCTTAAGTGTTTAAATGCAGAAAATTAACTTTGAGAGCACTTGCTTGATTGATTGATTGAGTCACCCAGTACATTCTGTGAGGAATAAAGGAATACTGGCTTTCTGACACCACATTCAAGTGAGAAAGTTTTTCTTCCCAGATTTCAGATGACAGTAGCATGTTTAGATTGAATAAGCACCCAGTTCACTCTTATTACAAACAAACGTAGAAGTTATTTCCTTATTTTTCCCCATTTGCTGAATATTACTAACATTGAATCCTACAGGCACACAAAGATCTATTCTAGGTCTCTCCTCATTCCCACAAGTATGTATTTCCCTATATAGAAAATTTGACTACATCATTCCTTGAAACAGTCTGTCACATTTATTTTCTTTTGACAGCTCAATAACTTAACTGTTCTTCATTTTACACTGCTCTTCAGTATTCACTTGACCAAACATCTTTGTGACTGAAAATTCAGGAAACAAAATTCTACATCATCCACAAACAGATGTAGATGGCAGAAAAGCAAATGTTGGGTCAAAGTCTCAGAATTTCTTAAAGACAAAAGCTAATTTAGAATTAAATAATCTTCTTCTATATCAGAAAGCTTTAAGTTAGACATAGCTCTTGGTTTTTACTACTTAAATAACCATTTGTGATCTAATCTGAGCATGGACATGAGCACAGTTGGAGACAATGTTCATGCTCTGCAGTCTTTCTTCTTTACTTGCCAATTCTAATCTACAAGGCTCCCTCAAATGTTGGTGTAGGAAGAGCCTCGCTCCACTTATATCAGCTATAAGTGCTAGACTATGCAAAGGCAGGGACACAGAAGTGACTTTCCTACTCACCACTCTCCAAAACAGCATGTGTTCATTGCCATGCTGCTTGGCAGCTCTGCCTTCAAGGGGCAAATAAATTTGCAAAACAACCTGTCTGCTTTATGCTGCATGTAGCACAAGTAGGGCTTTCTTGTAAAACAAGTAGTCGTTTTGGTGGTCAGTTTAAAAACAACAGAGCACTATGCATGCATCTGCTGCAATATGGTGCATTATTTTTAGTTCCCTCTATACTACCTTCAACAAAAAATCAATTATTTGAAAGATTAGGCAAATCAGATGGACAGTGTTGAGTTGATTTAGAAAATTCAAAGAAAAAAATATTTCAGCAGTGTTGTGAATTTGTGAATATTCATTACCATCCCAAATAAACTATCATAAACATGGTTTCGTGCAAATTTCTCATGCAATAATCAAGTTATCTGTGAACTTTTAAGCAAGATTTTCAGTATTATGCATAAAAAATGAAATACATTTCTAAGAGGGAGTTCTTTGCAGGCAGAAATTATGCTGCAGTGGAGAGAATCTGACATACTCTCGCATGGATCCTGGCACTGATATTGCAAAGTAGCTTGTCAACTCTGTATCTTATTTTATAATCTAATAGCATTATAATCTGACAGCAGTTCATGTTCTCAGACAGAAGCTACATTTCAAAAACATTTTTCTAAGTACAGTAAGTTGAGAAAGTTTAAGCAAAAAACCTTAATCAACAGCCATTAAATCATCCACAGGCTATTTTATACTGAAAAGTTCACATCTTCTGATATTTCAGAGGTAATTCCCAGTTTCTTCTTTTCTTTCTTTTAGACACTATTGCTGCATACCAGTGCGAGTGCTGCAAACTCAAATATTCCTTGGTTTTAGAAATGATTGAGAGCCTAAGCTTAATTCTAAGAGCAGTTTGGATGGTGGTTTTTTTTATTATTATTATTATTATTTTTGCTTTTTTTTTTTTTTTTTTTTTTTTTTTTTTTTTTA